GCGGTCGACTACGTGGGAGTCCAGCGACATAGCCATTACGCTAATTGCTGGTTCCCAGAGAAAAGTTATTTCTTATATGAGACAGAGAGAGTGCTACCCCTAACAAGATCTTCACACAAGGATCCACCACCAGCCTCAGCCAGCCTGGATTGCGGGCATGCAAACGTGCACCTGGTGTTCACAAGGAGGAGGCCTGAGGAGGTGAGCCCTCGAAGGTTTCCAGGGACTGCTCCACTGACCAGGTTTACCTGCAGGGTCTCACTCAGGGTTTTGAACCTCAGCACTATAAACACTGTGGGCTGAAGGATCATCCATTGTCGCTAGCGGGCATCTTGCGCATGGCGGAATGTTTAACAGCTTGTCTCCGCCCACCAGATGGTGATCCCAGCGCACTGGGAAATGTCACGCACGTTGTCAGAAATCCCCTAGACCATATCGTGACTCCTTCTGAGGACTGCTGGTCTTACCTGCATGGCTATTCGAATAAAGGTGGTGACTGGGAAATTCTGTTGTCAGGAGATTCCGTGATGGACGTATGAGCGATATAAATGGAAGATCCCACCATTACTCACTGTTAATGCGGTTCCTTCTCCATGTAACACACCTTCCCACAGTTCAACATACTTAGGATTCATTTCAGGTGCCAGTATACTACCCACCTTACCTCTCCTAAGACTTATTAGTCCTGGGTTACATTCTTATGCTCATTTCGATCATTGCACTTACCATGACAGAACAAAATGATATTTGTTTATGTCTGTTTACCTCACAAGACTATGAACTCCATGAAGGAAGAAACTAGGTTTAATTTTTTGTTTATATTCATAGAACAGTGAAAGGTATATCGCTGTTTTTTTGTTTGTTTGTTTGTTTGTTTTGTTTGGTTTTTTTTATGAGCATATGGAGAAATGGACTGAGATCTAGTCAGGGTTAGAACCTCCAAGGGAGAGGCGATGGGCTGTTCCACCGAAAAAAGCTTGATGTATGAATAGGGGTGTTATCTCTCTAATCGAAAGTTTCTAGAAGAATCAAAGAAGCCTATTAGCTATAAGGAAAACTGAATATTTTAACACTGTAACACAACAATAGTTGCTTTTCATGCCTCTTAAAGAAAAACGTTCTCTTTGGAACTCAAATCTTTTTTTTTGTTGTTGTGTTTTTAAAATTTGTTTTTGTTTGTTTTGCTTTGAATCACACCAACAGACCAAAAAGCCAAAGATGAACTTATTTCAAAGGCGTCATTTCTGCTGGATAACACATACACAGCATTGGCAAGGAGTATTATTGGAAAATAAGCAGACCCCCTTCAGAGGGGATCGTAACACACGGATCAGCAGCAAATCAGGTCTGGAAATGTACATAGCAGCAAAAGAAGGTGAAGGTGGAGAATAACACAGGCTGAGGATTCTGTGAAGCATTCTGATTATCACCAGCTTAAAGATGTGCCTTTGGCAAATTAATCCCGCTGGGCCTCGGTGATCAAATCTGAAAAAAATGGGGCTACCTACTGAATACGAATGCTGTATGGATTAAAATGAGGAAAACGTCGCCTCTTTCTGAGCAGGCACTTAAGAAACATTAACCAGGACCAGCAGATGGTGTAATGGCTATGTCGCTGGACTCCCATGTAGTCAACCACAATTCGAGTCCTGGACTTGGTGGATAAACTTATGCCGGGCATGTGTGCGTGCGTGCCCAAGATCCCAAAAGGAGAATGGAGGAGAAGGGATTGTGGCGTGGCCATAACCACTGGGGGTGGGGTGATTTCTCGCTTTCTGTCTCTCTGTCTCTGTCTTTCTGATGAGCACACACACCCTATAGTAAAAATCTCTCCAAAATTAAAAAAAAAAAAAACATTAATCATACTATTGCCTTTCCTCCCATCTTTTGCCTTTTTCTTCTTCAGATTCAGAATATATCAGGCACAGGGACCAACAATTAGTGTAATGGCTATGCCACTGGACACCCATGTAGCCGACCGTGGTTCGAGTCCCAGACCCGGTGGCTTAAATTCATGCTGGGCACATGTGTGCATGCCCAAGATCCCGAGAAGAGAATGGAGAAGGGATTGTGGCGTGGCCGTCCCCGCTGGGGGGTGATTTCTCACTTTCTATCTCTGTCTCTGTTTTTCTAGAGAGTGCATGCACCCTATAGCAAAAACCTCTCCAAAAAAAAAAAAACAAAAAAAAAAGAATATGTCAGGCACAAATAAACCAACAGAAAAAGGGTTGCTAATGCCCAGCTAATTGAGTAAAATTCCAGTTCCATTTGCCTTCTCAAACATACTGTAGAAACTCATGCATCTGACACAGCTCCAGCTAGAGCACGAACGTGAAATTAGTGTCATCTCTGACGTTCATTCAGTTCAGTCGTCCTTGGTTTTTTCATCCCTGCCCATCTTCTAAGGTGGTTCTCTAACCATTGTTGATCTTTGAGATCATTTTACTACTTTGCTGAATATGTGTTGGGACATTGGTTTTGGAGGATAGACATTTTCTTACGAGATTACATTCTGCAGGAACTCATTTACCTAAACCCTATTTAGAGGTGGCCATGGCAACAATACTTCATGTTGATTTTGGGCAGTGGCTCCATCTTGACCCAATGGTGGTCTTTCTCAAGCCCCTCTCCCTTTCAGAGAGGGGAACCTCTCGGCAAGTCCATGGAAGAAGCCTAAATTGTTACTGAGAAGGTGGTTCAGCTAGACCTGGGTGTGCTGTGGGTGAGTGAGGGCTTGTGAATGGACGGCAGTGGGATGACTGGGAGCCTAGCAGGAAGAAGTCAAAGGGGAGACTGTCCTTCTAGATGATTGAGTGAATCTTAAATTAGACCAGCCCGGGATCTTAATTTCTCCCCTTTGGTAAGACAAAGATGCTTGTGAAATTAATGAGCATTGATGATGAATTAAATAACAATCCCCACCTCTCCTCTCCACGCCCTCCAACAATTTTCCTTTGGACAGAATGTTGACAGGGAATTCTAGTGGAAACAAAAGGATTGCAAAGAAAGAAAAAAGAAAAAACTAAAAGACAACACACAGTAGCAAAGTGAACAGGGAAAAGATGCATCCTTTGACGCAGAGCTCTGCTGTTGGAAGTCAGCGTCTTGGTTTTCTGTCTTGGATTCCCTGGAGCCGAAGGCAGAGAGTGGGCAAGACCGAGGTGCTGAAGTCTGGGACTGCTTTCTGGTGAGGTAACGGGACAGCCCTGTGCAATGGGGCACCATGGCCTCCCCGGGCTCTGTCCTCGGGTGGAAATCCATACTGTATTGGATGGCTGTTGGGTCAAGGCACTGTCGTGTACGGCCGGAGGCAGTGGGTCACTGGCAGTAGAGTTCCATGGCATCAATACATCACAGCAGACTCCAGAGAGGGCTCCTGGGGTGAGAGATGGAGCACACCATCAAGCCACTTGGCCAAAGTGAGAAGAGGCAATTAAAAGTAAAGTCGATTGCTTTTTATATCAAAGCTTTTCAAGCTCATTGACCAGTTACACATTTCACATCATTTAAAAGTGATATTTTAGGGGGACCAGCAGTTGGCGTAATGGCTATGTCACTGGACTCCCATGTAGTCAACTGTGGTTCGAGTCCCGGACCCGGTGGCTTAAACTCACGCCGGGTGTGTGTGTGTGGCATGCTCAAGATCCCGAGAGGAGAATGGAGCAGAAGGGATTGTGGCGTGGCATCCCCTTTGGGGGGTGATTTCTCGCTTTCTGTCTCTTTGTCTCTCTCTGTCTTTCTGGAGAGTGCGTGCACCCTATAGCAAAAACCTCTTCAAATATAAAAAAAAAAGTGATTTATTTTTTTAAGAGAGGTTTTTGCTGTAGGGCATGTGCACTCGCCAGGAAGGAAGACAGAGAGAGACAGAGAGACAGAAAGTGAGAAATCCCCCGCCCCCCGAGGTGAGGGTGGGGTGTATGGTCATGCTGCAATCCCTTCTCCTCCAGTCTCCTTTTGGGATCTTGTGCACGCATACGCACATGCTCAGCATGAGTTTAAGCCACTGGGTCCGGGACTTAAACCAAGGTTGATTACGTGGGAGTCCAGCGACGTAATCATCACACCATCTGTTGGCCACAAAAGTGATTTTATTTTTTTAAACAGGGATTTTTTTATTTCCTTTTTTCTTTTCTTTCCTCCTTTTTATATATATATTTTTTTGGTATTTTAAAGCCACCAGGTCCAGGACTTGAACTGCAGCTGGCCATGTGGAAGTCCAGCACCTTAACCATTATACCACCTGCTAGAGTTTCTTCCTTTTTTATTTCTTTCTTCCATGAGTGAGAGAGACAGAGAGAGAAAGAGAAGAAGAGAGAGAGAGAAACAAAGATGCAGGCACACCAAACAGGGTCTCGATGCCACATCTTATCTCAGCCAGCTCAGGATCACAAGCACACGCCTGTCTAAGCGGATGTGGGGAGGCCCTTGGGTGCACATGTTGAACTTTCCCGTGTGGAACTATCTTGCAGACCGTTGCATTTTACCATTGTGCCATGGCCCATCTCCCATTTTTCACAGGTACTTCTTTTCTTTTCTTTTTTTTAATTGCCAGAGGTGCATGCATTTACCAGAGAGAGAGAGAGAGAGAGAGAGAGAGAGCACCCCCTCCCCCATTGGGGTATAGTCAAGCTGCAATCCTTTCTCCTCCATTTTTCCACTCTGTCAGGATTTTGAGTACGCATGCATATGCCCAGAGTATTTCTCAAGCCACCGGGGCCAGGATTCAAACCATTATCAGCCATGCGGGATCTGGCTCCCTTAATCACTAGGCTACAGGACCAGCCCCTTTAAAAGTACTTCTTAATCTACCTGAAATTTATTTTGCTACATGGAATAAGGTAATTATTTAACTGAATTTCTTTCCCAATTTTCCAAACATAGTTTTTGCTTTTATATAATTTATATCTTCTCCACTGGCTTCTAATGCCTTTAAAAAGATCATATATATATGTGCCTGTATTTATTTTTGGGCTTTCTATTCTATTTCATTAATCACCAATTTATTTATAGTTTTTAATTTATGTTAAAGTCTTGCAGGAAAGGAACCAGCTGGACTCCCATGTAGTTGACTGCGGTTTGAGTACCAGACCCAGTGCTTTATAAACTCACGCCAGCCACATGTGCATGCATACCCAAGATCCCAAGAAGAGAATGGAGGAGAAGGGACTGCGAGATGGCCATCTCCCTGGGGGTAATTTCTTGCCGTCTCTCTCTCTCTCTCTCTGTCTCTCTGGCAAGTGCATGTGCCTTATAGCAAAAATCTCTCTTAAAAAAGATATGGCAGGAAAATTTCTACAGTTTTGTAAAATACTTTTGTTTATCCTTTCCGATTTGTTATTATGTGAACTTTAGTTCAAAGAAGATCTCATTGAAATTATTATGAGAATTGGATTAATCTATAAATCAATTTGGAAAGAAATGGGTTTATTATTGGACTGGTAATGTGATTTATTAATCCTCACAATATTAAAGGTACCCCAGGGTCAGTAGGTGGTGTGGTGGTTAAGAGCACTAGACTTCCACATGGCCAACCATGGTTCAAGTCCCAGATCCGGCAGCTTGCTTTCTCACTTTCTCTCTCTCACTCTGTCCCTCTTTGGTCAAATTAAAATCCATCAATAAAATAAATAAAGTTCAATTAAAAAAAGGTACCTTTACATTCCCACAAAATCTACCTAATACATGGCTGTGTTTAATGGGCTATATTATGTTGTATGTTTCATCTCTCTAGAGCAGTACCGCTGATACGTGGCTTGTGTGTATTCGTGTGTGTCTGTGGGTGAGCAGATACGGAGCAGGTGCACATGCTTAGCAGCTACGTCAGGCCCTGACTGTGGGCTTATGTTAGCTTTAGAACATGAATCTTTCAGTTCTCCGTTTTTAAAATGCTTCGAAGTAGTTTTTATAGCATGGAAATGAATTGTTCCTTACAAATTTGTCAGCAATGAGCTAAAACAAAGGATTTTGAATTTCCCAACACAAAATCACAAGAAATGGTTGAGAGGATGGATAAACTTTAATTAGTCTGATTTGATCATTACACATTGTGTCCTTGGACTGCAAAGTCATATTATACCCCTAAATATGTCCCATTATTGTCCATATATGCAAATATGTACAATCAATTAAAAAGTGCCAAAAAAACTATAAGCCAAGAGAGTGAATTTTACTGTATGCAAATTTTAAAATAATTTTCAGAAGAGTTATTTATTTTATTTTGTTACTATTATTATTATTTTTTAAATTTGACCAGAGTGAGATGGAGAGAGAGAGAGAGAAAGGGAAAGTGAGAAAGCAAGCCACCAGATCCAGGACTCGAACTGTTGTCGGCCATGTGGGAGTCCAACACCTTAACCACTGTGCCACCTGCTGGCACCAAAATAAATATATTTTTTTTAAATGGTATTTCTTTTTCTTTTTTGGAGAGGTTTTCGCTATAGGGCACGTGCGCTCGCCAGACAGACAGAGACATAGAGACAGAAAGCGAGAAATCACCCCCCAGGGGGGATGGTCACGCCGCAATCCCTTCTCCTCCATTCTCCTCTCAGGATCAAGCGAATTGCCAGGTCTGGAACTCAAACTGCAGTTGGCTACGTAGGAGTCCAGCATCTCAACCACCACACCACCTGCTTGCCCCAACTCCCCCCAATTTTATCAGCAAAACCATTTGGCCACGGAATCCCTTTTAGAAAATTTAGTATTTTTAAAATTTTTTTGGGGGGGAGCATAAGTAGATGAGATTTTTGCTATGGATTTGTGCTTGTCAGAGAGACAGAGAGAGATGGAAATAGAAAATTTATTATTATTATTTAATATGCTATAGGATATATGTGCTCACCAGAGAGAGACAGAGAAAGAGAGAGAAAGTGAGAAAGCGAATTGCCAGGTCTGGAACTCAAACTGCAGTTGGCTACGTAGGAGTCCAGCATCTCAACCACCACACCACCTGCTTGCCCCAACTCCCCCCAATTTTATCAGCAAAACCATTTGGCCACGGAATCCCTTTTAGAAAATTTAATATTTTTAAAATTTCTTTTTTTGGGGGGGGCATAAGTAGATGAGATTTTTGCTATGGGTTTGTGCTTGTCAGAGAGACAGAGAGAGATGGAAAGAGAGAATGTAAGAAGTCACTCCGTGGAGGCTCCATTCTCTTCTTGGAGTTTGGGGCACACACCTGGCATGAGTTTCAAGCTGCTAGGTCCAGTACTTGAACCACAATCAGCCATGTGGGGATCCAGCGCCTTAAACACTACACCACCTGGCTGGCCCCTCTTTATTTCTTTAATCAAATCGGTTTGTACTAATATTCTAATTTAAATCAGATTTTATTAGAATCAAGATGATCAATTTTATTAAATGCTTTTATATGACACTGTTTATATAGAAATTGAATACTCTATTATAATCTTATTTTCATTGTTTTACATGACTTACAAAAAATACTTCCATTTCATTCTTTTCCAAATAATCAGCTGTTAGATTTATCATCATTTCTATAGCTTTTTGGTTCTAGCTTATTGGTTTCTGCATTGATGCATTGAATTCAAGATTGAGTTCATTTATTTTGTTTCTTCTGTCATTAATAAGGAAGAAAATAGTTAAACTGAAATTTGCCTCTGTATAGTTTTAAAGGCATTGTGCTTATTTTAATATACGTAATGTTGGGAACCAGCAGTTAGCGTAATGGCTATGTTGCTGGACTCCCACGTAGTCGACCGCGGTTTGTGTCCCGGACCCCGTGGCTTAAACTCACACCGGGCGCGTGTGCGTGCGTGCCCAAGATCCCGAGAGGAGAATGGAGGAGAAGGGATTGCGGCGTGACCATCTCCCCTGGGGGGTGATTTCTCGCTTTCTGTCTCTATGTCTCTCTCTGTCTGTCTGGCGAGCACACGCGCCCTACAGTGAAAATCTCTCAAAAAAAAAATATACGTAATGTTTTCATGTTCTGATTGCTTTGTGGATTTGCTTTTCTCTTTAATTCAGTAGTTACTAAGAAGTGTGTGCGTGTGTGTGTGGGCATGTATATAAGGTGTACATGAATTTGTACGTGTGGCTGTGTACATAGCAACACATGCTTCTTTTTTGTTTTTGGAGAGATTTTCGCTGTAGGGCGCGTGTGCTCGCCAGAAAGACAGAGAGACAGAGAGACAGGAAGCGAGAAATCACCCCCCAGGGGGGATGGTCACGCCGCAATCCCTTCTCCATTCTCCTCTCGGGATCTTGGGCACGCACGCACACGCGCCCGGAGTGAGTTTTAAGCCACCGGGTCTGGGATGTGAACCGCGGTCGACTACGTGGGATTCCAGCGACATAGCCATTACGCTAACTTGTGATCCCAACACATGCTTTTTAACTTTCAAGTAAGGTTTCCATTGGTTTTAACTTTTATTCTAATTGCTTAGATTTGTCCTGGACAATATTTTAGGTACTAGTCACACACACCTATTTCCATTTTGATGGACTAAAATTAACTACAATTTTTAAAAAATCAGTTTGGGTCAGCCGTGTGACTTTGAGGTTGAGGGCGCTAGATTCCACATGGTTGACTGTGTGGTTGGAATCTCACAACCCAGAGAGTCAAAGGAAACTACTGATTGCATGTCAGTGCTTGGCCAAGATCCTGGAAGACGGAGAAGAAAAGGAGAAGGGATTGTGGCATGACCATGTCCCACTGGGGGTGCTTTCTCTGTCTCTCTCTTTCTCTGTCTCTCTCTAGCAAGCACACACATCCTCTAACAATTAAGAAAAACCAGTTTCTTTAATCCAGCAGCCATATTTCAGTGCCCAACACCTACATGTGGTCAGTAGCTACCACATTGGGAATTGCTGTTTTAAAATATTTTCATTATTAAGGAAAGTTCTACTAAAAAGCATTGCTGTGGGACCAGCAGATGGTGTAATGGTTACATTGCTGGAATCCCTTATAAGTAACCATGGTTCGAGTCCTAGTCCCTGGGGCTTGGAACTCACTCCAGGTGAGTGTGGATGCATGCCCCAAATCCCTAGAATGGAATGGAGAAGAGACCGTGGCGTGGCCATCTCCCCTGGGAGGGAGGTGATTTCTTGCTTTAGTCTCTGTCTCTCTCTGTCTCTCTGGTGAGAGCATGCAACCTGTAGCAAAAATCTCTCCTAAAAAAAAACATGCTGTAGATTATGTTTGGCACTGTGGTCATAGAATGCAAGTTTTATACTTTCTACTTTTTTAAAAATTTTTTTGAGAGGTTTTTTGCTACAGGGCACATGCACTCACCAGAGAGAAAGAAAGAGACAGAGAGACAGAAAGTGAGAAATCACCCCCTGGGTGGATGGTCACGCCGCAATCCCTTCTCCTCCATTCTCCTCTTGGGATCTTGGGCACGCACGCGCACGCGCCCGGCATGAGTTTAAGCCACCGGGTCTGGGACGCGAACCGCGGTCGACTACATGGGAGTCCAGTGACATAGCCATTACGCTAACTGCTGGTCCCTATACTTTCTACTTTTAAAAATTTACTAAGGTTTTCTTTGGAAGCTGGTATCAAATCAATTTTTACGAATGGTTTGATGCCTGGAAAGACAATGAGTGGTGTATCAAGTAACAGACTAGAAAGTTAGATAAACACCCTAGTTAAAATTTAATAATCACACAGGGGGCTGAAGGCTGGTAAGGGAGTTTTAAAGTCCCCAGCCACTGCCTAGTACATTATGTTGCTTCGTACTTGACAAATCAAGAGAGGCTCTCTCTGTCTCTGTCTCTCTCTCTCTCGCTGTGTCTCTCTCTGGCAAATACAGATGTCCTCTAGCAAAAAGAAAAGCAGTTTTTGAGGTAAAGTACTCAAAACATTAAACTTGCCTTGCTATTTTGCTGGATGACATTTTCTGTGTCATCTATTTCTCTGTGCTCACCAGAAAGACAGTGTGACAGAGAGACAGAGGGAAGTGAGAGAGCACGAGAGCACACCCCAGGGGGCATGCACACACACATGCTCTGCATGAGTTTGAAACTACCAGGTCTCTGATTTGAACCATGGTCAACCATGTGGGAGTCCAGGAGGTAACTGCTATGCCATCTGCTGGTCCCATCTTTTAAAATTTTCTCTTGAGGGCTAATGGGTAGCATGGTGGTTAAGGAGCTGGACTTCCACGTGGCCAACTCCAACTGTGGTTCAAACTCCAGACTTGATGGTTTGAAAATCGTGGGAGTCCAGCGACATAGCCATTACGCTAACTGCTGGTTCCCTTCCACCGTCCCTTCTTCACCTCTCCTTCCTTTTGAGATTTTGTGCATGCACACACATGGTTGGCATATTTCTCAAGTCTCCGGGTCCGGGGCTCAAACTGCTAGTCAAGTCACGGGGCACCCAGCTGCCTTAGCCACCTTGCCATGCGGCCAGCACTAAATAGGCCATTTTAAAGCAAACGATTCAGTAATATTTAGTACATTCACAGCTGTGCTGGCACCACCTCTACCGAGTGTCAGTACACTTCCTTCACTCCCAAGTAAAACCTCTTAGCATTAAGCAGCTTCTTCCCCTTCCCCCTTCCCACAGCCTCCGGCAACCACCAATTTCTGTTGTCTTTCAGGAAGGTGATTTCTTTTTAAGTAGCTTATGTAAAATGGATTTCTCCCCATCCCAGTGGCCTAACCTTTCAGTGTGGTAAGGCATCTTTTTCCCACGTTGACGTAGGGCTGGGAACACAGTGACTGGGTTTGGAAAGGCCAGGAGTGAGGGCCGAGTGAGGGAGGGAAGGCGATGAGCTATCCCCAGAGTGCTCGAGAGAGGGGTCTGACATCAGAAGGATGTGCCCGCTATCATGTCATCACCTGGTGCTTCTGTGTGCGTGAGACAGGGACAAGGCAGGGGTGGAAGTGGAAGAGAGGGATGGGCGATGCATAAAATGCCGCAGGATACATTTACCCCTGAGGTCTTGTCACCCCCGTTGTGCATGGTCTGCCCTCAGAGCTGGTGTCACCGAGAGAGCCTGCTTGGGTTGTCATTTCCTATGAAGCAGCACGGAGCGTTTGCCAACATCCTGACACATACTCTGTTTTATATACACCTTCTCTATTCTACTGGGTCATCGGAAAAGTCATGACCTGATTTTCTATGCAAAAACGCACCACGACTTTTCCGATGACCCAGTATCTGGAGAGTTCGTGCACATTATCTATTGCCCCTTTCTCTTTCCTCTTCTTTTTGCGGGGAGAGGTTGTTGCTATAGGGTGGATGTGCTCGCCAGAAAGACAGAGAGAAACAGAGATAGAAAGCGAGAAATCACCCCCGCCCAGGGGGGAAGGCCACGCCACAATCCCTTCTCCTCCTTTCTCCTCTCAGATCTTGGGCACACACGCACACGCGCCTGGTGTGAGTTTAAGCCACTGGGTCCGGGACTTGAACCACAGTCAACTACATGGGAGTCCAGTGACATAGCCATTATGCTAACTGCTGGTCCCTCTACTGCCCCTTTCTGTGCCCTATTTAGGGGCAGCTGCTGTTTTCAGGAGGACAGCATCAATGGCTCACAAGAAATTTAAGGACGAGTGAATATGGACTGAAAATAGAATAAAGATTCTTTACACCTCTACCAGACCTGACACACCTGTGCATACATTCTTATTTTTCTCATACCAAATCTGTTTCCTACATGGAGCTGGACATAGAGTTAAGAGGATTTACTCACATATTAAAGAGGGCAGTGATACTGAGATGGGTGTTATTTACCTCTTTTAGACAGCTCTACCCTCAACATTCCACAAAAAAAAAAAAAAATCCAGGGGACTGTGAGCTCATGCTGGAAGGATGTTTCTCGGGACTCCAGTGGGAAGGCACAGAAGGAAAGGTTACTGGACACACGCGTCATCGATAGGGAAAGTGACAGGCATTAAGGACAGGGATGACATTTACCATCAAGTTCTCGGTGGTGCTTTTCCTTTCTTTACTTCTGTTTGTCAAAGAGCCTTGGAGAATGAAGTTCCGGTTAAATGTTTGAGTGGTGGTCACTGACGATGCCTCAACTTTTTCAGCTACAAGGAAATAAACAGGACTCTGTGTTACCCAGAAGCGGGACCAATGGTTAAGGAATAAAGACCACGTGACTAGATTCCCCAGATTTGTGGTCTACACTTGGCACCTTATTTCTTTTTGTTTTTTGTTTTTTGGAGAGTTTTTTTTTTTTTTTTCTTGAGAGGTTTTTGCTATAGGGCGCGTGTGCTCGCCAGACAGACACAGAGAGTCAGAGAGACAGAAAGCAAGAAATCACCCCCCAGGGGGGATGGCCATGCCGCAATCCCTTCTCCTCCATTCTCCTCTCGGGATCTTGGGCACGTACACACACGCGCCCGGCATGAGTTTAAGCCACCGGGTCCGGGATGTGAACCACAGTCGACTACATGGGAGTCCAGCGACATAACCATTACACTAACTGCTGGTCCCTTGGCATCTCATTTCTGTACACATGTCTTATGATGGGATCATTTTATTTTGTGCTCATGTGTATACTGGGCCAAAGAAGTCAAACCATTGTTGGTGGTTTTCTGTGACAACAGCTTGGAGGTAATCCAAGAAAGTCTACCAATTCTTATTTGCAAACCCGAAATAGAAAAGACACAGATATATGCATTTTTTATAACATTGGAGCCAAAAAAACTCAATTGCAACACCTGACCTGACATGCAGCTCTTTAAAGTTCTCGTCCATCTCACCAAGTGTGAGCAAGCTCTTGCTTTGCTACAGGGATATTAATTTGCTTGATTATCAGCTGCTGGACAGATACCACAGTAGGGGTCGTTAAGAAATGTACACCATACACACCATGTGACTTTTCTAACACCTGAGAAGTTATGAAACCCATGTGGACCAAAGGGGTTCAGATAAAGTTTGTGGACCTGTGTACATTTTAGCTGCACAGAGTATAAAGTAAGCATTCATTGAATGTTTGGTGACTGATGCATGGCAGAAACAAGGCTCAAACCCCATCTTCTCACTTTCTGCCCCTCTCATTTGTAAATCTAAATTTCATTGGGTGTCATCATTGCGTGGCTCCAGAATCCAGAAAAATGACTGAAAATGTCCACTGGTAGAGGTGACATGACCAGCATTGCTAGAACCCACTCCAGACTGGACACTGTGGCTTCTCTGTTCACTTCCTAGAAAGTCCTCATCTGAGCACATTTTTAGCACATCCTACTGCAAGCACCACCCACTATCTCTTGGTGCATGCATGTGGCAGGTTAGAAATACCAGAGAGTTAAGGAAGACGACTTCTCCATTGCAGTAGAGAACTAGTGCTTTCAGGGAATAAGAGAAATCAATTGTCTACTGATAAATCACCTCCAACCCCCAGTCTTGAGGGGAGAGATTTACTCTACCAAAATCATGGATGGAAAATTCAATCATAAAAATACAATTTTCCAGAACTCCCTCCCCCCAAAAAAAAGAAGTACTATGGAGTTAATGCCCCTTACAGTAACTCTCAACCAGTGCTAAATTAGAGCTAAAAAATAAGTACTCCATCTTCCTCCCCTTGGGGCAGAACACTCTGAGTTGCAGCCAACAGTCTCCTAGAGGTCTCCAGTAGGATTTAGGCTTATTTGCCCAAAGAAGTGGTCTGCTAAGTAACCTGGATTGTCTTAATTTCCTTCTTCAGGTCATTTCTCTCTTCCACTGTCAGTACTTTCTGGAGTCCCCTCCCAAATAGAATACTTGCACCCCCATTCTTGTCCCAGGGTTTGCTTCTGTGGAGACCAACATCAGGATATTTAGGAGCAATTATGAATGAAAACAAGCCTTGAGATCTGGCCCTCAGACTCAGATCCTTGAGTTACTCCAAGCAAACGATTCAGGCTCAGTTCTTCGGCCACTTTGCGTTTGAACGCCAGCCTACCTTTCACTGGGGGAGCCGGCAGTTTCCTCCTCTGCTGCCTCGACGTATCTATGGTATGTACCTTCAAGCAGAACACAGTGATCAGCACACCTTTGCAAAGGCAGAGATATGTTCCCTTTTAAATTGTCCAGGTTATGCAACGTTCCAGCAGAGTAAGTGATAAACACACCTGGTTCCTTTGCTTCTGACCCCGTTTTCTTGTGAGGCGCACGCATGGTGCGATGTTCAATCCTGCGATGGTCAGGGCTGAAATTCGGCTCTCGATGTCAGAAATCTTCATGCAGGGTGAGACAGGATAGGCAGGGAGAAAACACAAGAGAGAATCTTTGTTCAGAGTCCTATAAATTATGCTGTCCCCATGGCCTCTCATAGAGGTTAAGGGAGCTGAAGCCCATGTGGCCGACTGCGGTTCAAGTCCGAGCTCCAGAGGCTTGAAAAACATGTGAGGTATGTGGGCATGCACACTCCAACTTTTGACAGAATGAAGAAATAGAGAAGGGACCAGCAGTTGGCGTAATGGCTATGTCGCTGGATTCCCATGTAGTCAACCGTGGTTGAGTCCCGGACTCAGTGGCTTAAAACTCACGCCGGGTGTGCGTGCATGTGTGCCCAAGATCCCGAGAGGAGAATGGAGGAGAAGGGATTGTGGCATGGCCATTCCCCCTGGGGGGTGATTTCTCGCTTTCTGTCTGCCTGTCTCTCTCTTTCTGGTGAGCGCACACGCCCTATAGCAAAAACCTCTCCAAAAAAAAAAAAAAAATAGAGGAGAAGGAATTGCACCACGACCATGCCCCACCGTGGGCTGCTTTCTTCCTTTCTCTCTCTGGTGAGTGCACGTGCCCTCTGGAGGAGAAAGAAGTGTTATAAATTTATAAAGAACGATATGTTTTGGTGAGTGCTCATGCATCCACTCCTACCAAGCACACCTGTATTTAGTGCTGTATGAGAGCATAAAATACAGGTTTGTCTATACATTTCAACCTCGGGTTTAGTAGCTCTAGAACATAACAACAGCCCAGTTGGATTATGTCTGGACACTACGGAAACCCTGACCCAGGGCCATCTGGCTCAGCAGGGGCGTGGCTGGAGGGATCAGGGAAGGCTTTCCTAGGGGGCAACACTTGAATGAACTTTGAAGGGGCAAGTACAATGTGTAGATCCTCTTCCCTTCCTCCATGAGCCCATGAATCCCAAACCACAGCCTCAGGCTTTAGGAGGGAGCCCAGCAGCCCCCAGTTCAAATCCGTCTCCTCTGTAGAGACTCCTTCTCCTCTCCGGGTATTGGTTTCCTGTTTTATAACATGGGGAGGTCAGAGAGAGCTCCCATTTCTTTCCAGGACAGTCTGAAGGGAGATATAGAGAGAGTAAGAGCCTCTCGTGCCTGGAGAGAACTCTGGTTCTCCTCTGTTCCTGGGGATAAAGAAGACCCAGATCCTGCTCATAGAAAAGGGTGCTGCTGGGCCAGCAGGGGGCGGGTAGGTCAAGGCGGCTGGATCCCACATGGCTCACTGCACTTGAGCCCTGGACCCAACAGCTTGGAAAAAAAAAAAATACAGGAAGGAAAATCATGCTGGGCACGTGTGTGTGCATGCCCAGAATCCTGAGAGGAGAATGGAAGAGAGGAGATTGTGGAATGGTCGCCCCCCTTTAGGGGGTGATTCCAATCCCTCCTCCATTGACCTACAGCTCATCTTTCTGCAAGCACACAGACCTTGTAGCAAACTAGAAAAAAGAAACAAAAGAAAAAGACAAAGACAAAGACAAAGGAAAAGGTATTGCTATGTGCCTGGCACCATACAGAGCACTTTCAATATGGAAACTCATTCACGCATTTAAAACAATACTTCATGGGACCAGCAGATGGTATGGTGGTTACGTCACTGGACTCCCACATAGTTGACCACGGTTCGAGTCCTGGATCCGGAGTCTTATAACTCAACGCTGGGCACATGTGTGCACATGCCCAAAATCCTGAGAGGAGAATGGAGGCAGAGAGATTGCTCTGTGGCCATTCCCCCTGGAGGCGAGATTTCTTGCTTTCTGTTTCTCTGTCTCTCCATTGAGCGCATGTGCCCTATAGCAAAAATCTCTAAAGAAAAACCAAAAACAAGTACAAAATAATACTATGAATTACTCATCATTCTCATAGCTTTACAGATGGAGAACCTGCAGCTCATGGGGAGAAGTGGTACATCCAGCTGGTCTGGGGCAGAGCTGGGGATTAAGGCCAATGGCCATTTCCTTGCCACACTGCTGTGTTTGCAGAGGACCTGCCACGCTTGGCATCGGGGACGCTAGACTAGGCAGGAAAAGGCTAGCAGAGTTGAGGGGAGAGGAAGGGCTCGCAGCCATCTTGCTGGAATGGTGCAACCTGAGCGAGGTGGGGACATCGAAAAGGAAACCCGAAAGCAGGTTCAGAAGCCACTGTGTGTGTGCTTCACCGAGTTCTCGGTTGCCTTTCCTATTCCTTGACAATTTTGTGCTGCTCAAGACTAATCTCACCCTGCTCTCCTGTATGGAGGGCTTCCTCGGATGAAGTTTACTGGGACGGGTGCTACAGACAGGACAGAGAGAAGGCTGGAGGGTCAGCAAATATGGGAGGTGCTCCCCCTATCCCTGAGAAGGGACAGCCTTTGTTAGAAAAGAAGGCAGAAGAAGGCTAACTAAACCTGGTGGCTGGTGAAAGGATGCAAATGAAACTGTCCAGAGCTAGACCTCAGGAGCCACTGTGCAGCTGCCCTTCCCGGGGCCTCCGGATGACTCCTGTTCTGACTTCTCAGTTTCACACCGAGAGCCGTATTCCTTTGGTTTATAGACCAGTAGACTACACAAGTCTCTGAGAAAAGTTGTGGACGATGCTTTTATCAGTTGTTTGTAACTGAAGTGGATTACACAGCCATGCTCTTCCCTGGAAGCGGTTTTGATAAAGGACCTTGCTCAGAGGGTCCCGGAAGACAAGGTCAATGGAAAAGCAAGATGCTGACCTCTTGATCTGCTGACTGCCAAGTTCTGGAATAAGAAGGGCTTGTCTTTTCAAGTTTTGGTCCATAAGACAAAGGACAAAGTAAGAAGGAAGGAGACTCCTGGGGGCTGATTTTGCCTTCATTTTGTTACTTCTCTCTATCGTTATGTCCCACTTCCCTCCTAAGACTGCATGTCCAATGGCCCATACACTTGGATGAAAAATTCAGCTCTGAGTTTCCTAAGACCCAAATCAAAGAGCTCAGTGTAGGAACCTATGTCTATTAAAAAAAAAAAAAGGTAAGTGCTGGCAAGATTGTAGTGAAAAGGGAACTCTCCTACACTGCTGGTGGGAATGTAAGTTGGTCTAGCCACTGTGGAGAATAATATGGAGGTTCCTCAAAGACCTACAAATAGAACTACCATATGATCCAGCAATTCCGCTGCTGGGTATCTACCCAAAGGATCGGAGAACACTCAGTTGGCAAAGTGCTTGCACATCTGTGTTTATTGCAGCATTATTCACAATTGCTAAGACAGGGAAGGAATCCAAATGTCCATGAACAGATGAATGGATTGAAAAAGTGTGGCACATATACTCTGTGGAATACTACTCAGCCATAGAAAACAAGACCCCGGTATTTGATAGAAAGTGGACAAATAAGGAAGATTTACTGCTGAGTGAAGCAAACCAGGCTACGAAAGAGAGACATTGTATATCTCCACTTAACATATACTGACTGACCACGCTCTATGGTGGAAACTGAAAGGTTAGAGGATACTGAAGCGTGGAAAATGGTTATGGATACTGGAGATAGTGTGCAAAGAGAGTAGGAGAAGGGGGAGAGTGTGAGGAAAGAAATTAAAGAGAAAAATAGAGAGGCAAGACATGTATGGGACACAGAAATGAGTTATGAGCTGTTGATGATAATATGCAGCATCCTCAACGGACTGGTATGAAGTGTATTCATGTTGGGTAAATTCACTTTACAAGCTAAGTGATATATAGTGATTGACTATGTCAAATAAATAATAAAAAAAAAGAAAACCAATTAATGGGGAAAATTAAGCTTTTTGAAATGCCAGTCATGGGAATTAAAAAACTAATCTAAAAGAAAAGGCAGAGACCGAAGACTCAGAAGAACATTTTCTCCTGACACAAAGTTAAGAGAGACTTTTCCAGAAATGCTCGTAGGGACAACCTGGCATGATGCAGTGGACAGCACCCTCAGCATGACATCACCCCAACTCAATCTGCAGTTTCCTTTAGCACTGGGCAATGGCGTCTTGTCCCCAAGGGAAACGCCAAGTTGAGAGCATCCCTCGAATCTGGTCGAATCCAAGAACAGAGTTTAGCATATCTACCTCCACAGTGGGACCCCTCCTTCTACTCTGCAGGAAATCCTGTGTGAGATTTTCTGGGAGACAAGACTTTGAATGAGAACAGACAATAGCGAGTCAGAGCCTCTGCTCTTGGGCAGCAAATGGCAGTGTGGGAAGAGTCTCCACACTAATCAATGTCCGACATTGAGACTATCTACCAGCTGAAGGCAGAATAATAGCTTCTCATGTGAATAAAGAATTCTTAGGCAAGTGCGTATATGCCTGATGGCAACACCGACCTATCTCCCAAAAACTGCACAGCACAGACTGGTCAAAAGTGTGGGACGTGGGACCAGCAGTTAGCGTAATGGCTATGTCGCTGGACTCCCATGTAGTCGACCACGGTTCGCGTCCCGGACCCGGTGGCTTAAAACTCACGCCGGGCGCGTGTGCGTGTGTGCCCAAGATCTCAAGAGGAGAATGGAGGAGAAGGGATTGCGACGTGGCCATCACCCCTGGGGGATGATTTCTCGCTTTCTGTCTCTCTGTCTCTCTGTCTCTGTCTGTCTGGCGAGTGCACATGCCCTATAGCAAAAACCTCTCCAACAAAACCAAAAAAAGTGTGGGACGTGAGGGCTGAAAGACGTGCTAAAAGCCTGGCTTTATCACTTTTCAGTTATTGAACCTCGGGCTAGTGGTTTAACTTTTTGGAACCTTAGTTTCCCCAGAAATAAAAAGGGAAAGATAACATTAGCCACCATATGGGATTGCTGAAAGGATTAAAAGCAATAATGAGAGGTAAAGTATTAAGCACAACTCCTGGCACCAACTACGGTTGGCTGAACATTGGGTATTATCGATAACAGTGTTGTAATATTTAAATATGAATGATAAACTAATAGGCATGTTTGAACACATGGAAAATGGGCACTTGGCGATTCCTAGGTGTTCTTCCATAAGACATAGCTCTAATAAGGCTAGCAGGTGGCATAGTGATTACAGTGCCATGGTTCAAGTCCTAGACTTGGAGGCTTGAAAACTGCCATGCACGTGTGTGTGTGTGTGTGTGTGTGTGCCCCAAATCCTAGAAGGAACATGGAGGAGAAGTAATTGTGGCATGGCCATTCCTCGGGGCGGGGGGAGTGATTTCTTAGTTTCCATCTTACTGTTTCTCTCTAGTGAGTGCACATGCCCTATGGCAAAAGCCTTTAAAAAAAAAAAATGACCCTAATAATTTAAACAAAAAAAATTGTAAGCAGCCTACACATAGGTGCCTTTACGACGTTATAGCAACTCAGTAAACAGTTCTAGAACAGCCATATCTAAATTCTCCCTGCTCTTCACACCACATAATTGGTCTGAGAAATCTGCGCTTGCAATTCCACTCATCGCTTCATCCCATTTTTATCAAGTGCCAGATTTGTGTTAGGTATTGTGAGTTACTATGGTAAACTAGACAGCCATAGATAGTCCCGCAGCCTTTAGTCTACAATGGGGAAAATTGGCATTAAATAAGTAGTCAGCAGTGTGGTAAGAGACAGCAAGAAATGGTCCCGGGGTGGAATGAAAACATATATAGACAAGAGACCGATGTACGGGTCAGAAAATTTGCTAAATAGGAAACCAACATAAGGTTTTGAAAAGGAAATCCAGTACTCAATGAAAGCTAATTCTTCTCTGAGAGAGAAGGCGGCTGTAGTCAACACAGGAGGGGCTGGTGGGGTCCCCCTGGAAAGACTGTATCCACACAAGCATGCTGGAGATGACGAGAACTGAGAGATACAATGGCTTTGCAATGGTCTGGAGGAAGGTGGGGCTCCCTCTCCTATCGCCCTGTGGTCCCCCATTGGGGCAGAGAGAAGAGCTGTCACCTGGAGCTCAGCATGGTGGACCTGGGCTGCAGCGGTGGCGACCTGGTCCTCCAGATCTGCCAGTTCGGTTTCATCGGTTCCACTGTGGATGCAGCGGGCGGCGTCCTCAAGGTCATTCAGCTGGCCCTCCAGGCCGTACACGGTGCCTGCGGCCAGGTACACCTGCGGAGAGAGCACAGCCCTCGGTCTGAGCTCAGGGCAGCAGACCCAGGGGTGGCAGGGCCCTTTCAGAGGACCCTGGTAATCCCAGAAAACAAAACCTAACTAGACTGGGGACCGGCAGGTGGCGTGGTGGTTAAGGGTGCTGGATTCCCACGTGGCTGACTGCGGTTCGAATCTTGGACCTGGCGACTTGCTGCCTAACTTTCTCTCTCTTTCTTTCTTTCCCACTCTGTCCTCTCTGGTCAAATTTAAATAAATAAGTAAATAAATGGATAAATAAAGTTAAAAAAAAAAGATAACTAGGCTGAATATGGGAGGGGGAAGATGAGAGTCCACCATTTATAAACGTCCTTCACTCTTTTTTTTTTTTTTGGAGAGATTTTCACTGTAGGGCGCATGCGCTCGCCAGACAGAGAGAGACATAGAGACAGAAAGCGAGAAATCACCCCCCAGGGGGGATGGTCACGCCGCAATCCCTTCTCTTCCATTCTCCTCTCGGGATCTTGGGCACGCACGCACACGCGCCCGGCATGAGTTTTAAGCCACTGGGTCCGGGACGCAAACCGCGGTCGACTACGTGGGAGTCCAGCGACATAGCCATTACGCTAACTGCTGGTTCCCTAAACGTCCTTCACTCTTAAATGGTAGCATGAGGTCTTGCTGCCCCATCACTGCCAACCACACGCTCCTAACGTTCTTAAAAGGAACAGTTATGAGTAGGCTGCTTTTGATAAAACAGTGTGAACTACATGACATTAGCTATGTAAATTCCAAGTTGGGCCAGTGGCTATAAACTAAAAAAAAAGAAACAAAGTGAAAAACTCTTTATGACATTTTTCAATAAAAACTTCATTTGGTGGTCAGTGAATCAAGAAGAACTCAGAAACATGAAAGAGGTAAACTTAATTTAAAATAATTACAAATTTCGAGTGAATTCTCTCTGATTAATTACTTTCTGCTTGCTTTAAAAAAAAGTTAGGGGCTTAAAAGTACCTGAAATTTGTAGTAAAAAAAAACCCAAAAACCCCCCCAAAAAACAAAAACAAAAAGCCTTCTTAGGAAAAGAGTATAATGCATGGGGCCAGCAGGTGGTATGGTGGTTAAGGCGCTGGACTCCCACATGGCTGACCACAGTTTGAGTCCTGGACCTGGTAGCTTCTCACTTTCCCTCTTCCTCTCTCGCTTTTTCTCTCTGGTCAATGAAAAAATAAGAATAATAAATAAAATTAAACAATCCTTTAAAAAGACTATAACGCTAAGAGAAGCATGCTAAATCTAGCTGCCTGTCGATTTTGACAATTTTTTGAGAGCTACTGATAGCACATCAGATAAGGGGAGCAATCTGAGACAAAGGAAGAGAAATATTTAGACTTATGCGTACACAAGGTGATTTCCATAAAAGTGAGCAACTAGAAAGTAACATCATCGGAATAATTTAGGTAAGAGATATGGGCTGTAAAACAAGAGCTTCCTCAGCCTAATCAATACTGTGATGAAACAACTGAAAACATAAGGCACAAGATGTCTCTGAAAAAAGATAATTACTTAAAGAGAGGTTCTCGAAGTTTAACCAACAGCTATAAAATTCTCACCATGTAATCACAGCAATTTAGAGTTGATTTGAATGAAACGCATGGGCAAGAGTTTCAACAGTCCCCTTAACTCGAGTTAAAAATACAACCAAGTTGAGGACCAGCCAAGAGCTTATGCATAAAAAATCGTGCTCATCTTTTGCACTGAGATGTTCCTATTACAGTGAGTCTCTGGCACGATTCACTCTTTGCCATTGAAACTGGCCATTTTATAAGACATTTCAAAGTGAAGAAAAAGTAGGTGCAGGTTTCACAAAAGCAGAGTGGACCGTGCACCATTCTCCGGCCCCATGAGCTGGGCCTTGCGAGCTTCAGGCAGTGACTGACACGGTAGACATCACATCAGCTGATTTGCCAACCATGAAGGGGCCAAGAATCAAATGTCTGCTGGCAGCTACTGAATTTTCGTTTGTCTTTTATTTTCTTTTATACGTTTTTAATTTGCTATATGTGCTTGCCAGAGAGAGCTGTATGTGTGTGTGTATGGGAGGGAGAGGCAGCAGGAAGTAAGGAATCATCCCCCCAGGGAAGCTGGCCATGCCACAATCCTTCCTCTTTCATTCTCCTCTTGGAATTTTGGGTATGCATGCGCACACGCATCCAATGTGTTTTTCTTTGGAGACAGCGCAGTTTGAGTCTCGGACCCGGTGGCTTAAACTCACGCCGGGCGTGTGTGCGTGCGTGCCCAAGATCCCGAGAGGAGAATGGAGGAGAAGGGATTGCGGTGTGGCCATCCCCCCTGGGAGGGTGATTTCTCGCTTTCTGTCTCTCTGTCTCTCTCTGTCTTTCTGGCGAGTGCATGCGCCCTATAGCAAAAACCTCTAAAAAAAAAAAAAAAGAAAAGAAAACTGGAAGTTGAAAAACTTCCTTTCAATGTGGAAAAAAAATGAATGGGGGAGAGAGAGGAGAAAAAGAAAAGAAACAGAGAAAGTCAGGACAGTTTGGAATTTATTACATTTTTTCTAATTGCGAAAGAGCATTATGCACATGCCAAGAGAGAGGGAAAATAAATTTCCAAGAGACGCATGGTCCCTTCTCCATTCCTCCTTTTCATCTGGATTTGGGCGTGTGCATGCGCCCAGAATGTTTTCAAGCCAGTAGGGCCAGGGATTCAAATTGCGGTCAGCCATGTGGGATCTGGCTCCCTTAACCACTGCGCTAATAAGGGCTGGCCTTATTACACTTTTCAAAAACTACGTTCCCTGTCTGCAACCAAACAAAAGCAAATGTATTTTAGTAATCTAAAATAAACTTAAACGTACAGTTTTACAGAATGAAACAAAATTTGGAATCGTTTCAATGAAATAAATAACTTAACTGTGACAATGGTTAAGCGTAACTTCCCATTGATCCAGGAACCTTCATTTTACCAGAAACACATGAAAGTCAGTGTCATCACAGCCGAGCAGCGTATCAACCTGATTGTTTATATCTTCGACACTAATGTCATCCATTAAGTTCCTTGTGTGTGTGTGTGTGTGTGTGTGTGTGTGTGTTTTGAGACAAAGCAATATGAAAGAGCTCCAAGCCCTCAGGAAGGCCAGGATGTTGTCTTTTACTTCACGTTCCCTAAAAGCCTCCTTTCCTGGCACCACAGGGGAGGGCAGACTCCGTGGTTTGGCACTGACACGGGCTGAACAGGAACTTCCAGCCAAAGTGACGGTGCCTAAGGGGCTGGGAGATGGTGTTAGGAGGAGGAGGAGGAGGGTGACAGCGAGGAGGAGGATGACAGCGAGGAGGATGAGGACATGCATTTCCTGAGCCCAGGCGCTAATCCCAGAGTTTCCTGTGATTTATTTAATACTCAAGGCAACCCTTCAGGCACGTGCTTTTGCGGTCACCAGGTTAAGATGAGAACATTCGTGTCTTCCGCAGGGTCCGCAGCTTCCTCTGGTCTCTCACTGGGACGAGGAGGAGTCTGAAGGGTGCTCTGAGAGCTGATGCCAGGTCCCGGGCCTTTCTCACCGCCCTGTGAGGCCGTATGCTGAATCTAGGCTACCCTGTTACGACAGTTTCCCTTCCAAATGTCACCAGAAAGGTCCTAGAGCTATCGCAGGCCTAGCTGGATATGGTACTGGCTCTGTCCCTGGCTTCAAATGACCACAATTTAACAGGCTAGACAATGACAATGCTATTTTGGCTTTACGAAATAACCCATTTTAAAACCGTTCACCTGTGCGGCTTGCTCAAAATCCACTTTTGGAGAGAACTATGGTTACCATGTCTGAGGACTCTGTGTCTTCTTTCTGTCTTTCTTTCTTTATTTTTTTGAGAGTTTTTTGCTATAGGGTGCGTGCACTCGCCAGAAAGACAGAGAGAGACAGAGAGATAGAAAGTGAGAAATCACCCCCCAGGGGGGATGGCCACGCTGCAATCCCTTCTCCTCCATTCTCCTCTCGGGATCTTGGGCACGCACGCACACGCGCCCGGCGTGAGTTTAAGCCACTGGGTCCAGGACGCGAACCGAGGTCGACTACGTGGGAGTCCAGCGACATAGCCATTACGCCAACTGCTGGTCCCGACCTGAGGGCATCATGATGGACTTGGTTGACAGGAAATATTCAGGAGACACAGATAAGATAGAAACGAACAGTATTTCTTTTTTTTTTTTTTTCTTTTTGGAGAAGTTTTTGTTACAGAGCGTGTGCGCTCGTCAGAAAGAGAGAGACAGAGAGACAGAAAGCGAGAAATCACCCCCCAGGGGGGATGGCCACGCTGCAATCCCTTCTCCTCCATTCTCCTCTCAGGATCTTGGGCATGCACGCACACGCGCCCGGCATGAGTTTAAGCCACTGGGTCTGGGACTCGAACCACAGTCGACTACATGGGAGTCCAGCAACATAGCCATTACGCTAACTGCTGGTCCCAAAAGGGACAGGATTTCTTTGTCATTCTCTGAGAGCAGAGACACCCCTGAGTAACACTGACCACCTCGGCAAGGCCCGGTGCCGTATCCTCCCAGTGCTGAGGGAGTTGTCCGAGAGCCCCAAGGAGGAGGGCCAGCATCCTCTGCATGGTCCTGGAATTGGTGGCAGAGCTGGGCTCCCGGGGGGCAGCTTCACTGTGGCTGTTCCCACTGCTCGTACCTGTCCTGGGCAGTATGGGCAGAGCCGGAAGGGACCAGGGACTGCCCTTCCCTGCCTAGGTGGCTGGGGATTACGGAGACCCCAGGCTGCCTTTGCCACTTAGCAATGGGAAGGAGGCAGGAGATGGGGTTGAGAAGAGTTGACCCTCCCTCCCATTCACCGCCCTGCATAAATCCACAAGGTGCCTTTTCCTATGAGCTGCACCACAGGTCTGAGAAGAGGTCAGTTCCCTGTGACCCCCTGGGTCCGCTCTCCACCCTTCTCTGCTCTGCCCTGTGCCCTGGGAGATCGACCTCCATGAACTTCATCACGAGACTTCCCT